TGTTCATAACTAGTCCTGTTTATTTCGATATAATGTTAGGTCTTGTTTAGGTTTTATGTCTGTCTTTGAATTTTGACTTTTAAAGTGATTTTATTCATTTTTAGTTCAGTCGAACTGATGATGGAGCTGGACTCCGAAACGTTTTCAATATCGATATGGTGAATTTTCTTGGCGTTTTCTTTGCTTTTAAATTCCTTGAAAGCTACTCTCATGATCATCGTTCTAGATTGCCACATAGTTGATATAAATAAATGAGTTAGCTAATAAGTTAAGGTTACTTATCCCTAAGAGATGAAACAAGGTTGGTGCGGGGAAGAATAACACAGATGCTCACAACACGTCACTGCTGAGCAAACTGGGGCTTGAGTGTGCATAACGCGCCAAGTGGGGCTTGCCTGTCCCAAAGAAAACGGGGTGTTGTTTGATGGCGCCGATGTTAAAGTACTTCTGGGAAAAGGTAAAAGGTGTGGGTTGATTTGACAAGCGGCCTAGAGCGACGTCACATGCCGCAAACAAATAGAAATACAGTGAGACAAGGCTTCGTTGCTCACAATCATGTGCATACAATGAATTACTGTTTGGATTTCGTCAATAAGTTTATATAAGTTTTGGTACTAATTGTCACCATGAAATTTCATACCAATTCTATCCAGCAACAGATGCCAGTGGCTCATCTCTGCGCCCTAAAGTCATAGCAGTTAACATCAAGCTTGAGCCTCTATATGAGGATGATGACATATCTGTGAAGGATGAGCCTATTGATATAGATGAAAATCAGGTAAAGTTATTACTCTATTTCTTTTCATTGTAGATCATTCCAAATTTGACATTAATATTTTCCCCCATGGGATTAAATCAACTTCAATAGAAATTCAGTGCTTGAAAAATTGTGCTCCTATTTTTGTGAAATTCATAACTCAGCTTCCTTATTGAATGGAGTAAATTGATTAAAAAATTATGTTGCAGGGCTGTAGATGAGTCTCATACAACATAATATAGTTATATTATCTTTGAAAGGAGCCTACTTAAATGCATTGATAATATACTCAGATAAATATAATTTGGTCCTGATACCAATCTGTCAATGAAGACTCTGTTCATGATTGTTTTATTTGGCCAGCAAACTCCACCTTCCTCATCTTGTGTGCCATGCAAGGAGGAAGCTCAAGTTGAGTCTCGGGACGCCCACCAATGTTCCTCACAGGACGCTGCTGCTATGCCTGAGGAACAGGTTGGTGTGGCTTGGTGCTGTGTTCTTTGTTTAGATTTTCAGTTCAAATGCTTTTATTGCATGTGAATGTGTGGAGCACTTATTAATAACTGAGTTTATGGTTTTTGATCTCTATTGTGCATTCTAATAAAATTTGGATGATTATGTCTCTGGCAGTGAACTTAGTATTGACATGCATCTGCTTCCTGAGCCCTGTTAGGTGTAATGATTCCCGTGCATGCTGTGTACGATTCATTCATATTTTATTTAAATCGAGGTCCTTTAGGTGAAACCGTTGACGATGAAGGACTGAATCGAAGTTCTATTCAAATGTTCTATTGCTAATGCAAGTGTTTGAGGGAATATTATACACTTAATGCATACTTCGCCTTTTAGAGCAACTTCGAATTATTTCTTCAATATCCACCACAACTAATTTGCCTTCATTAGAACATTATCTAAGTGACTGATGTGACCAACTGTTGTGTCAGGCAAGTTCAGGTGAACCTCCCAGCCCTGAGTGTGGTGGCCAGCTAGCTCCACCTCCACCATCCGGTGGGCCGGACGAGTTGGAAACTCAAATCGAGGCTTGTGAAGCAAACGTAGCCCATCGTTCCGCCTTGATCTCGTCTTCCATGCCTGGACTTATGGTGGGTGGTTGTTTGTTAGGACGATTGAGAATGTTAATGCTCTCCAAAAAATTCAAATAATGTGCCTCATGATGGTTTACATAAAAGCCTCATAAGCTTGGTTGAATTTTTCAATCACGCATTATCAGGGATTTGAGTTCCTACATATGGAAATATTCTTATGCTAATTTAACCATATAATAAACTGATATTTTCATACTACCTCGCAACCTATGTTATGGTAACCTTCTGCTTACTTCTTGTTTGTTTAAAATTATTGTCCAATTTCACTTCAACAGTGAATTATTCTGCATGCCCTGTGATGTTGGTTAAAAGTAAGGTGTAGAAGCCAACCATGGAGCTGTACCATCTGGGGCAAATCTAGACACAGAATTTTAGAAACTTTGAGCCGTATTGTAGCCACTCATTGTAAATTCTTCTCAGTAAACCTTTGCTAATATTTTTATGTGTTTTCACGAGACTAAATGGCTGGCCAATTGTCCTCTTGATTTTAAACCTGTTTTTTATAACCGATATGTCGATGATACTTTTTTGCTTTTCAAGCATCCCTCTCATGTGGCCCTTTTCTTTGATTATCTAAACCTCCAACATCAGTCAATAAAATTCACCATGGAGCTTGAAACCAACAATACTTTATCTTTTCTCGATTGTAATGTTACAAAATCTAATGGCCGTTTCCATACCTCTGTGTTCAGAAAGTCAACGTTTACCGGTTTAGGCACCAGCTTTTTTAGTTTTTGCTCATTTCGTTTCAAATTAAATGGTATTAAAACATTATTAAATCGTGNCTGAAGAGGCATGTTCTTCATAAGCATTCATCTAAAAAACCTCTTGGCTGCTCAGAGTGTGAATATTCTTGTGTGACTAAGAGCGATCTGCAGAAGCATATTCTTCGTAAGCATTCAGCTAAAAAACCTCTTGGCTGCTCAGAGTGTCAATATTCTTGTGTGACTAAGAGCCAACTGAAGAGTCATATTCTTCAAAAACATACATTTGAGTAAACTCCAGGAAAAAGAAAGCCTAACTAGATATTTGAGGCCAAACATTTGGGTGAAAATTCTTCAGTACTCAATGTATAAATGAAAGACATTGAGTAAACTGACTCGTTGAATATTATCTGTCGTTTCATTGACCAGATTAAGGATAAGTCTCCAGCTAACATATTACCGACCACTGGATGTTGGAGTTGTTATCAGCGCACTTCATTGAACTATGATCAGAGTTCAAGGTGGTTCTGAAGGAATTCGTCCCGTGCCGTCTAAACGCCTTTGAGAACTCCATGTTGCCAGTATCTTTGAGACAGGTATCTTGGATACCACCATATTCGTTATATTTTTGATACGTTTGTTTAATACTGCCATTTCTGTATTATTGTCATGTAGACGAGACCTGCGAAGTGTCATCTGCCCGCACATCAGATGGTGGTCATGCATTAGTATCGCATCTTTGCTATTTTACATTCGCCTCAGCACGCCAATCTGCAATCCTTCCCTTACATTTACCAACTACTTTTCACACGTACATCACTGCTACGCTCGACTACCCTGCTCATATTTTTATTACTCAAGGCAATTAAAACAAGCAAGAATAAGCCAAGCCTTTGCGGCTCTCGTGTCGATCGCTAGTTAAATATTCGCCACGAAAATTTAAGATAAGAATGAGAGAGCTCCCGCGGCCACAGCTTAGCAGCGCTCCGATTATTGGGACATAAGCATTGCATGGACATCTCTCTAATGGACATCCCTCTCCCTCCTAATCATCCGGATATGTAATATCCTAAAATATGTAATGTTACATATTTTAGACACAGTTTTTGCAAAGTTGACGACGTGTATAAATTAGCCTTACACCACAACTAATTCAAACCAGGAACGGTTTTAGGAGGCTAATTTTCAAAATTCATCCTCTTGCGCGGACGTGCTTTATGTCACTGTCAATTAAAGCTAAATAACTTATTCAACAAGCTATTCGTTAATCTTGAGGATGGGATTGTTAGCTGCTGAGAGATGAGAGAACCTGATGTTTTACTTAGAATCTTAGTTTCATACAAAAACAACTCAATTAAGATAAATACTGATCCAATCGGCAAAATAAAATAAATTTGGTCTATGAAATCCGTGGATCGCCCAAACGGAGCAATCCACTCCAAGTTGAAGTATGGATCCGAATGATATGCATTGGTTGAATATTCATATACTTTAGTATTCAGTCACAACTAAGGGAGGGATGTAAATAGAATGTGTTAAGTTTTTTCGCAGGTAAAAAAGGACAAGAATCAATTACAAGTACAATGCTCAATAGCCACCATTGAGAAGATAAATTCGCACTAATTCATTGCCGAAGTGCTAATTTTCATATTTTAAAAATTTAATAATTTTCTGCATAATTATATGTAATATCCAGGGGCTTGATCAACGCATTTAAACAAAATTAGAGGACAAAAATAAGAGGTGAACACGTACAGTCTGCTGTTCAGGTGCTGTCGGAGAGATTTTTGCGACGTATTCTTCACTGTATTATAAATTTTTGTGTCATCAGCATACATCGAGCAAACGCTAGACACAGCTTCTGGCAGATCGTTTATAATTAGAGATATTAGATATTAGAGAGATACACAGCAGCAATGCCATTCAGAAGCAGTATTGGCAATGTTTTGGGCAATGCTTGTTGTAGTCCTTTATTTAGAATTTTTCCAAGCTGCATTTGAATTCAATTGATACTTTTTGCTGTTGATGTGATAGGGATTTTAAAAAATTAGGGACTCCCATATAAATCTGATATTTTTCCTATTATACAAATATAAAAATACACAACAAAACTCAGAGGTCCCACTAGCAATATTCATGTCTTCTTATTTACCAAAAATTTTTTCAGTTTTGTAACTGTATTTATATTTATTTGCAGTAAAATCTTTTGCTTGGCTATTGAACAAATTGTTAGTTATTTTTGAACTTCTTCAATTTGGACACAGTAGAATCTGATGGATATCATAATGGATGACATGAAGGAATGTCATGTTGTGCTGCACAAACTCTCTGATGATGCAGTTGAGAAGGGCTGGTGGTCTGGGCTGAACCTCCTGCTAAGGCCTTCTGGTGTTGGCAAAATTAAGTCTGCTGGTAAGATCAACATTTTGTTATGAGCCAATATACAAAGTAGGATTTTTTTATGAAGATAAAAATAATATTCTGTAGGTTATCACATATATAGACTTTCCATTTATATTAACAAGACTGCGTTGCTCCGAATTATGTGCATACAACGAATTACTTTTGGATTTCGTCAATGTGTTAATATGTTTTGGTGCTAGTTGTGCCACCATGTAATTTCATATCAATTCTATCCAGCAACAGAGGCCAGTGGCTCATCTCTGAGCTCTAAAGTCGTTGCAGTTAACATCAAGCTTGAGCCTGCATATGAGGAGGAGGACCTATCTGTGAAGGATGAGCCTATTGATATTGATGAAAATCAGGTAAAGTTATTACTCTTTATCTTTTCATTGATGATCATTCCAATTTTGACATTCATATTTTCCTTCATGGGATTAATTTCAACTTCAATAGAAATCTAGTGCTTTAGGAATTATGCTCCTATTATGTGGAATTTATTACTGAAATTCCCTAACAAAAGGAAATGCATTGATTAAAAATTATGTTCCAGGGCTGTAGATGAGTCTCGTACAACATAATATATCTGGTAGTTATATTTTATTTGCAAAGAGCCTAATTGAATGTATGGATAATATTCTCATATATTTATAATTTATTCCTTATACCAATCTTCCAATGAAGTCTCTGTTCATGATTGTTTCATTTGGCCAGCAAACTCCACCTTCCTCATCTTGTGTGACATGCAAGGAGGAAGCTCAAGTTGAGGCTTGGGACGCCCATCAATGTTCCTCACAGGACGCTGCTGCCATGCCTGAGGAACAGGTTGGTGGGGCTTGGTGCTGTGTTCTTTGTTTGGATTTTCAGTGCAAATGCTGTTATTGTATGTGAATGTGTGAAGCACGTCAAGTTTTATAATGTGCATTGGGATCCAACACGATTTCTGTGATCACTTCACTGCTATTATATAAATAACTGAGTTCATTGTTTTTGATCACTACTCAGCATTCTAATATACTTTGTATGATTATGTCTCTAGCAGTGAAGTTCGTATTGACATGCATCTGCTTCCTGAGCCTTGTTAGGTGAAATGATTCCCATGCATGCTATGTATGATTTATTCATATTCCATTTAAATCGAGGTTCTTTAGGTCAAACCATTTGATGATGAATGACTGAATCGAAATTATATTCGACTGTTCCATTGCAAATGCAAGTGTTTGAAGTAACCTAATATTTTACCCTCAATACTTTATCTTTGAGAGTAATTTTGAATTATTAGTTCAAAACCCACCACAACTAATTTGCTATCATTAGGATATTAATCAAGTATACGCGACTGATGTGACCACCTGTTTTGCCAGGATAGTTCAGGTGAGCCTCCCAGCCCTGGGTGTGGTCGCCAGCTAGCTCCACCTTCCCATCAGGTATTTACCGTGACACAGATGTGGTTTGGTGGGCAAGAAGAAACGACGGTTTTCATTTTGTAGTTTTACTCGCGGTCTTGGGTGACAATGGTGACGTAAGCTGGAAATAAGATTTAATATTAGTTTATATTGTCGAGAAAGAAATACATGAAACTCACACTAGGTAGGGGTCAATTGCGCAGTATTTCATTAGTCACTTATACAAGGTGCTTTTGGCAGGCAACAAGAAGAGACACAACTTTAATGATAGCTACGTTTACAATATCAGTTTCAACGAGTTAGGCCAGATATACCCATTGTTGACGTTTCCATGGTTATGGTTGCATTTGCCAACGCTGGGTTGGGATTTGTTTATGATTATAGTGCCAACGGCTGCAGTTGGGCTTAAAATACGATTACGATACCTAAAATCGTGAGGTTACAGATTACATTCAGAGGAAAATATCTTAAATTTACCCAATATATTTCAAATCAAAAGAGATGCAATGAAACACAAGTCGGTAGGAGGGCCGTGTAGCTGAGGTGGTAAGCGGAGAACGAACTAGTCTCCCTCAAAACTTTTCTCTATGATTGAGTCGAAGAAAACGTGACGGCATCTTGGCTATGTCGCTTTATGGTTTCTGAACTAAATCCTAGTAGAGAAACCTTGGGAGTTGGCTATCAAGGTAACAATAACAATTGTGGACTGCTATGAGTGATCAATAATGGATTAGCTCACTGTGAGTGACACAATTGAGTCGAGAATCTTAAGGTCTTAAATATGGCTATATGTATTGAAGGGAAGGTAGGCGTGGAAGCGTTGTAGGTGGCGCTACTTGGGGCAGTTAGAGGATGCCTCCTCCATATTTGACTCGTGGCGGTGCCGAGACGTTTCGTTGATTTCCTAGGTTTTACATTAAAGGGGGAACGTCACGAAATATAGCTCGATATTCGTAAAATGCTGTAAAATTTTGAAAAGCTATTTTATAATTTTGAAATGCTATTTTATAATAATCACATCACTGAGTAGCAGCAAGTTTACGATGCGATTTGAAGAGCTCCAGATTGTCAACACCAGCGTGAGCTATGGCTATTGGTAGATTTGGTAATTCATGTTTCATGACAAGGCTACTTCTTGATCATCGTTCTAGGGTTGGCACATAGTTGATATAAATAAATAAATACGCTAATAACTTAAGGTTACTTATCACTAGGAGATAAATCAAGGCTGGCGCGGAGAAGAGTAACACAGATGCTCACAACACATCACTGCTGAGCAAACTGGGGCCTTAGTGTGCATAACGCGCCAAGCGGGGCTTGCCTGTCCCAAAGAAAACGGGGTGTTGCTGTTGCCGGCGCATTTGCGGATGAGGTCAACCCTAGGTGACCTACTTCTGTCTCTCAGGCAACCAACTTTAGTAAACTGTAAGCGCAGAGGCCATGAATAAATAACACGGAAAGATAGATGTATATTGGTGATCAGATTTACAAATTTAATAAAACCAGAGAATAGAGGAGCATGGGCAGAAAATACTGTAAAAAAATAAAGTTATAGTATAAATACTAAAGTAGAATAACTAAACTATAAACACAACAACAGACATTGGCACAACAGAAACAAAACTTGAACTGAGCAAAATGGTGAATTGAATATGGATAACTGACAAATAAACATTAATAAATTATTCACGAGATCCGACTAGCCAAATCTTATTATGAACAATCGGTCCTACAACTTACTTCAGCCGGCGACGCCGAACATGACAAGACCGGAATGCTTACTACGGATCCTAGAAGTCACTTTCCTTTACCCTAAAAACGGTACAAGATAACTATTACTCTAAAATAATTGAAATATTAATTCAAAGCAATTACGAATATATTGTGAATGAGCGGATTTATTTTGCGATAAAAACCCAATGAGTAACCCGGTAACATTGTTTGAGGTGGACTATGTTATAGTATTTCTGGGAATAGCTAGAATGTGTGGGTTGATTTGACGAGCAGCATAGAGCGAAGTCACATATCGCAAACAAATAGAAATACAGCGACGTCACTAAAAATGATTTTTTATGTTTAAACGAAGACCTGAAGTATTGTTGTGTATTTTTATATTGCTCAAATCAGAACAAAACTATTTACACGGAAGTCCCTAATATGTTAAAATCCCTATAACATCAACAGCAAAAAAGAATCAATTCCATTAAAATGCACCAATTACCTGAGGTATGATTATGAAGATGAAAATGATATTCTGTTGGTTAAAACATATCATGACTTTACATTTATATTAACAAGACTGTGTTGCTTACAATTATGTGCACACAACGAATTACTGTTCGGATTTCATCAATGTGTTAATATGTTTTATTACCAGTTCACCATCATGTAATTTCAGATCAATTCTATCCAGCAACAGCGGCCAGTGGCTCATCTCTACGCCCTAAAATCGTTGCAACTAACATCAAAATTGAGCCTCTATATGAGGAGGACATATCTGTGAAGGATGAACCCATTGATATTGATGAAAATCAGGTAAGTTATTACTCTAAATCTTTTCATTGTTGATCATTCCAAATTTGACATTAACATTTTCCCCCATTGGATTAAATTAAACTTCAATGGAATTTCAGTACTTGGAAAATTGTGCTCCAATTTTTGTGAAATTCATAACTCAGCTCCCTTATTGAATGGAGTAAATTGATTAAAAATTATGTTCCAGGGCTGTAGGTGAGTCTCATACAATATAATATAGTTATATTTTCTTTGCAAAGAGCCTACTTAAATGCATTGATAATATGCTCATATAAATATAATTTGGTCCTCTTACCAATCTGCAAATGAAGTCTGTGTATNGTGCCATGCAAGGAGGAAGCTCAAGTTGAGGCTCGGGACGCCCACCGACGTTCCTCACAGGACGCTGCTGCTGTGCCTGAGGAACAGGTTGGTGGGGCTTGGTGCTGTGTTCTTTATTTAGATTTTCAGTGCAAATGAGAGAGAGGCATCTCTCATCTCATTATAAGTGAATGTGTGAAGCACGTCAAGTTTTATAACGTGCATTGGGATCCAACACGATTTCTGTGATCACTTCACTGCTATTATATATAAATAACTGAGTTCATGGTTTTTGATCACTACACTGCATTCTATTATATTTTGTATTATGTCTCTGGCAGTGACATTCGAAATGACATGCATCTGCTCCCTGAACCTTGCTAGGTGTTATGATTTCCATGCATGCTGTGTACGATTTATTCATATTCCATTCAAATCGAGATTCTTTAGGTGAAACCGTTGACGATGAATGACTGAATCGAAGTTCTATTAAAATGTTCTCTTGCAAATGCAAGTGTTTGAGGTAATATTTTACACCTAATGCGTACTTCGTCTTTGAGAGGAACAGTGAAATATTCCTTCAAAACCCATCACCACTAATTTGCCTTCATTAGGATATTATCTAAGTATATGTGACTGATGTGACCATCTGCATGTTGTCTAAGGCTGGTTCAGGTGAGCCTCCCAGCCCCGGGTGTGGTGACCAGCTAGCTCCACCTCCCCCATCAGGTATTTACCGTGACACGGATGTGGTTTGGTGGGCAAGTAGAAACGACGGTTTTCATTTTGTAGTTATACTTGCGGTCTTTGGTGACAATGGCGATGTAAGCTGGAAATAAGATTTAATATTAGTTGATATGTTGAGAAAGAAATACATGCAACTCACACTAGGTACGGGCTGGACTCCCATTGTTTAGGCTTAATTAATAACGTGATAGCTGAGCTTTTTTAATTGGCTACTCGATGACAAGATTACAACTGGCATGATAAGAATGGTTTAAGTCAGTATGATAGGAATGGTTTATGTCAGTATGGTCAATTGCGCAGTATTTCATTAGTTACTTACACAAGGTGGTTTTGGCAGGCAACAAGAAGAGGCACAACTTTAATGATAGCTATATACGTTTACAATATCAGCTTCAATGAGAGTTAGGCCAGATATACCCATTATTGACGTTTCCATGTTATGTTTGCATTTGCCAGCGCTGGGTTGGGCTTTGTTTACGATTATAGTGCCAACGCTGGGCTGGGCTTTGTTTATGATTATAGTGCCAACGGCTGCGGTTAGGCTTGAAATACGATTACGATATCTGAAATCGTGAGATTAGAGAATACATTCAGAGGACAATATCTTAAAATTACCCAATATATTTCAAATCAAAAGAGATGCAATGAAACACAAGTCGGTACTAGGGCCGTGTAGATGAGGTGGTAGGCGGAGAACAAAGTAGTCTCCCTCAAAACTTTTCTCTATGATTGAGTCGAAGAAAACCGGACGGCATCTTTGTTTTGTTGCTTTATGGTTTCTGAACTAAATCCTAGTAGAGAAATCTTGGGAGTAGGCTATCAAGATAACAACGACAATTGTGGACTGCTATGAGTGATCAATAATGGATTAGCTGACTGTGAGTGACACAACTGTGTCGAGAATCTTAAGGTCATAAATATGGCTATACGTATTAAGGAGAAGTTAGGCGGTGGAAGCGTTGTAGATGTAGGTACCAATTACCTGAGTTATGATTATAAACATGAAAATGATATTCTGTGAGTTAATACATATTTATTACTTCACATTTATATTAACACGACTGCGTTGCTCACAATTATGTGCATACAAGGAATTACTGTTTGGATTTCGTCAATGTGTTTATATGTTTTGGTACTAGTTTTGCCACCATGTAATTTCATATCAATTCTATCCAGCAACAGAGGCCAGTGGCTCATCTCTGAGCCCTAAAGTCGTTGCAGTTAAGATCAAGCTTGACCCTATATATAAGGAAGAGGACATATCTGCGAAGGATGAGCCTATTGATATTGATGAAAATCAGGTAAAGTTATTACTCTGTCTTTTCATTGATGATTATTCCAATTTTGAACTTTAATGGAAATCCAGTGCTTGCAAAATTGTGCTATTTTTGTGAAATTCGTAACTCAGATTCCTTGTTGAATGGAATAAATTGATTAAAAATTATGTTGCAGGGCTGTAGATGAGTCTCGTCTCATACAACATAATATAGTTACATAATGTATATTATCTTTGGAAAGGGCCTACTTTTATTCATGGATAATATTCTCATATATTTATAATTTGCTCCTCATACCAATCATTCAATGAAGTCTCTGTTCATGATTGTTTCATTTGGCCAGCAAACTCCACCTTCCTCATCTTGTGTGCCATGCAAGGAGGAAGCTCAAGTTGAGGCATGAGAGCCGTCTGAAGAGTCATGTTCTTTATAAGCATTCATCTAAAAAATATAACTCAGTACTCACTGCAGTGAGTGACAGAGAGCGCATTTTCTCGTCGACGAAAACTTGAGGTCACGGACGGACGGACAGACAGACGGACATGGCGAGCACAATAGTGCATTTTTTCCATAAATGAGAAAATGCGCTAAAAACCTCTTATCTGCTCAGAGTGTCAATATACTTGTGTGACTAAGAGCGATCTGAAGAGTCATGTTCTTCATAAGCATTCATATAAAAATCCTCTTATCTGCTCAGAGTGTGAATATTCTTGTGTGGCTATGAGCCAGCTGAAGAATCATATTCTTCAAAAACATACATTTGAGTAAACTCCAGGAAAAAGAAAGCTTAACTAGATATTTGAGGCCAAACATTTTGGTGAAAATTCTTCAGTACTCAATGTATAAATGAAAGACATTGAGTAAACTGACTCGTTGAATATTATCTGTCGTTTCATTGACCAGATTAAGGATAAGTCTCCAGCCATCAAATTACCGACCACTGCATGTTGAAATTGTTATCAGCGCACTTCATTGAACTATGATCAGAGTTCAAGGTGGTCCTGAAGGAATTCGTCCCGTGCCGTCTAAACGCCTCTGAGAACTCCATGTTGCCAGTATCTTTGAGACAGGTAACTTGGATACCACCACATTCGTTATATTTTGTATACGTTTTTTTAATACTGCCATTTCTGTATTATTGTCATGCAGACGAGACCTGCGAGGTGTCATCTGCCCGCACATCAGCTGGTGGTCATGCCTTAGTTTCGCATCTTTGCTACTTTACATTCGCCTCAGCACGCCAATCTGCAATCCTTCCTTTACATTTAGCAACTACTTTTCACACACAGACCATTGCTACGCTGGACAACCCTGCTCATATTTTTATTACTCAGGGCAATTAAAACGAGCAAGAATAAGCAAAGCCTTTGTGGCTCGCGTGTCGATCGTTAGTTAAATATTCGTCACAAAAATTTAAGATAGGAATGAGAGAGCTCCCGCGGCCACAGCTTAGCAGCGCTCCGATTATTGGGACAACTCGCACCTCCGCCAGTCGCTGTCGGTTTAGACGGTCACTGGGTAGGGTAGTGTTGTGTAATTGTGACAACATCAGAGTATCATCCATTATTTCTTTGATGATGATTTCTTTCTTTTACTGTGCGTGTTGGATCAAAGAAATATGTGCATAATTCATTAAACGAAATCCTACAAACGTGTCAACAGCGTGTTGCTTGCACCCGACGCGATTAGGGTTGACACGGCGTGTGAACGGAAAGAAGACAAATGGGAGCTTTAACCACACGGGCGAACAAAACAGCTGAAAGGAAATGCCGTGCAGATGTCAAGAGAATATTGTGATGTTTGCGAGTTTCTGACGTCATTTAACTCATTAAGCTGTTATCAAGTTCATTTGCAACAAAGAAACGCAAAGTCACGCTTAATAATATTTGGTTTTCACAATTTGCCATAAATCGCACCCTCGGAGCGTTCGAAGCCTTGAGGTTGGAGTAATCCTAGCGCCTGTTCGTGGTTTCTTGATGTCCATGTGATCTTAAATAATATGTGTCAATAAAAACAATATATTGTTGGGAGAATTACTAATTGTGTTTAATTATCCCATAATATTTTACAGCTGTTCACATTTACCAGGATGTTTGGATTGAATATATTTCACAGAATAAATCGTTGTTATTTGAGGTCGGCGGCATCAGTGAAGTGGCAACTTAACTGGCTGACACAAATTTGTGCGGGCTCAACGGGGCTAAGTTGGTTTTCTCCCGTTTATTTCATATACTTGAGTGACGTAAGCTGAAAATAAGATTTAATATTAGTTAATAGGTCGAGAAATACTTAAATAAAACTCACACTATGCAGGGGGTAGACTCACATTGTTTAGACTTTACACATTGTTTAGTACTAAACGTTATAGAATAGATGAACGTTCTATTTTGACTTCTCGATAACAAAATTACAACTGACATGCCAGGAATTATTTATGTCGGCATGGCCGCGATATTTCATTTGTTACTCACACGAGGTGGTTTTGGCAGGCGAGAAGAAGAGACGACAACGTTGACGATAATTACGTTTAAGATTTCCGAGCTTCAATGAGTTAGGCCAGATATACCTAATGATGACGTTTGATTTCTTATGCTTAAATTTGCCAACGCTGAGTTGGGCTTCAATTACAGTTATAGCGTCAACGCAAGGTTGGGATTCGATTCCGATAATAGTGCCAACGTGGGGTTGGGCTTGCTTACTGTTCTAGTGCCAACGGCTGTGGTTGGGCTTCGAGTTTAATTACGATACCTGGAATAATGAGATTAGAGATAAGCTTTAGAGGACAATATCTTAAAATTACCTAAAATGATTCAAATTAAAAGAGATGAAGTGAATCACAAGTCGGCAGGGATGACGTGCAGACGACGCGGGGAACAAAGTAGTCTCCCGCGCAAATTTTCTATGAGATTGTGTCGAAGAATACGGAACGGCGTCTTTGCTACACGGCTAAGTAACATTCAAATAGTCACAACAGTAAAGGTGAGGCAAATGGCCTAGAAAATATCAAATCAGTACATCCAGTTATGCGACAAATAATCCCTTTTCAAAATAATTACTCCTAGACGAATTCATACTAGAAAATAGATATCAACTATGATATAGTCAAGAGCCTATGAGCAGGTGTTCGTGATCATGGCCGCCACTATATCGGCGCGGCATGACTCGCAGTGACAACTTTAATATGCACTCAATAACATGAATTTAGAATCACAATTCTGGAATCATACACAGTGAAGGCAATAGAGGAATACATGTATACAATAGGCTTAATAAGCTATAACATCATAAAATAAGGTAACACCGGGAGGGCTCGTGGAGCAACACACTACTCGCTTGAGCTCTAGACGCGCACTGGTACGGCGCTGACGATGCCGCGCTAACAGGGAACGCGGGAACCGTTTGAAGGGTCGCTGCGTTCACGTGGCGGTAATTTCGTTGATCTTTGCGATATTTTCCACGCACTTGTGGAGTGAATGCAGGGATGAGTGAAGATTTGCAGAAAGAATAGATGAGGTTAAGGAAAACTTAGTGCGTTGAATCTGACGAGTGACGAACGACGTCACACTGGCACTGACGCTTACTTGTATATTTTGATGGACTCCAGGACCTGTTTTGTGTATGCAGGATACGGCCAAGAAATTTGAAGTCAATGCCAAAGTTAGAATTTATTTGCCATTTGTTGCGCACGAGTGGAATATTGAGGCAGCCCGCAGAATATTGAGGCAGCCCGCAGAATATTGAGGCAGCCCGCAGAATATTGAGACAGCCCGCAGAATATTGAGGCAGCAATGTTATCTGTGTAATTTTCCCCTATTTAGACCGTGGACTAACCGTTACAATCACTGTTGTTGTCGGCGAAGTGACATCATGGAGGCACTTGGGCGACTGTATGGAGTCCGTGTTCCTGAGGAGCTCTTGCGGTGCCATGGCGGGACTCGAGTGACGTCACGAACTCCATATCTTCGATTGTAACTGAAAATTGTGCACAGTACGAATGATGTGTTAATTGATGTATACCTGCATCTAATAACTTACTGTTAGACCGGTTCTTGATGAGATTTGGTGAACCGTATACGGATTGGATTATTCACATACAATTTTTGATCACTAGTTTCTTCAAGAAACTCTTCACATTTAGCCATTTCTTCGCTCCGTTCCTCAGTAACGGCCGATAAATCACACTTCCACGCGAGCCAGTTGTTGCTGCCTGTTATAACGGCCACAAATAAATTTAACCAGTTTTTCCGGCCAGTAACTTTGTACACGTGGCCATTAATGACTGCCAGCGTTTCATGGCCGGCATTGCTTCTTGAGTGGCCGCACAGGTTATTTGACATGTTAGAACAAAGACAGGTTATTTGCCAATTCCAGTCTGGAATTATTGTTCCGCATACCAACACCTCTATTTCATGATTCATTCCCAAATTCCATAAAAAAATCATCAACGGGTTACAATCTTCTTAACCCTTTCGTGACTGACGGGACTGTGACGTCCCACTCAATGTTTTACTCCATGACTTGCATACAGCATGCCATTCGAGGCATAGCTAACTGCAGGGACAGATGAGTAACACTCCTGCGCCATGTCAACTCAAACGTAATTGACTGACGGGACTATGACGTCCCGTCCAACGATTTACTCTATAACTTGCATATGACGCTAAATTCAAGGCATAGCTAACTACAGGGACATATTAGAAACACTCTTGCGCCTACATATGTCCAATATAAAGTAATAATAATAAAGGTTTTCTGGGATATGTTATTATATAAGCTATTACACGCGTTTGCCAAAGAAAGTTTGTGATATTATTCAACTACTAACAAAAAATATTACGAAAATATTTTTTTTATCAAAATCAGTGATGTCGCAAATTGGGTCACCTCAGTTGGAACCATATACTACCGGGATTTTCAAGTCCCAAATATATAATTTTTACCAATAACATATATTTAATCATTTTTTACGGAGATGCAATATTCTGTCCAAGTTCATGATGATTCTGTAGAAAAATGCGAATAAAAAGTTGTAGAACACATTGCCGTCACCGTCGTCACGAAAGGGTTACATTTATTTTCATGCTGCTTTTTACTAATCATTACAATTTGATGCCTGAATTCCTCAATTAAAACTCACTGCTAGATTAAAGGAAACTGACGAGATCATGGTTTTTTTTGTTCAACTGTGTCATCAGTTGTTAAAAAGCGAGTCTCACAACATGAATGTAATGTAACCTAGAAGAAAGAAAAGTTAGAATGTCGCCTTGCCGTAATTTTCTGAATGTCAAAATCTTTGCTCACGGATACATTAACCATCGTCAATAGTATTCGCTTCTAAAATTCTGGTCACATGGCTAATGGTTCGTATATGTGAAATTCAAAAGTCGTAATTTACAAAGTAAA